ACGTAGCCACTAAATAATTCGATAACTGTGCCCACGCCGATGTGGGAAGAATGGCCTCGCGTCTTCCACGTGCCGTCGTAGCTAACGGCAATATTGCCCCGGTGGCCGAAGCACAAGTCATCATAAATTGTTCTAACCTTTTCGCACATTCGCTCATAGCGGACTCAGCCGCTCGCGTTGCAGCGGGTGCCAGCGTGTTCTTCAAATGCCGCTGAAACGTCTTGTGGTGCATACCGCGGTGTGAGATACCCATTGTTGCGAAAATATCGTTCATTTTCGTTTGGCCGTTGCCGGTAGCCACCATCGCCCTCGAAGCGAGAAGATTTACTTCAAACGGATTGCACGTTTTCGTGCCGTTCGCGCGGGGCGAAGTCCATTCATTCGCGATCTCGCCGCACCTTTCACACTGCACTAGCACTTTCACGGCAAGTCCGTAGTCCCGATCCCCTCTGATGATCGTAGCCGGTCCGTGGCAGGCTTTGCAACACAAGGCCCACATAACTGACATTACCACTTCTGCATTACGTAAGCTATGGTTTCTAAAAAGAAAACTAGCATCTGCACCCTCGCGTACTAAAATTCTAGCCTATAATGCCTGTGTTCGTTCTAAGCTTGAGTATGCTTCTATTATCTGGGATCCGCATACCAAGAAAGATATTATGAATCTGGAACGTATTAACAGAAAGGCTGTAAGGTTTATTTTTGGCAAATATCGTAGGTTTGATTCCCCGACCACCTTAATGCAATTAAACGACATTTCTACTTTAGAAGCTCGGAGAAAGTTCAGTCGTCTTTCCTTTCTTTACAATTGTTTGTGTGGTATTGTAAAAATTGATCTCCCTGACTGTGTTAAACCGCTCTCAGTACGACGTACTCGTCATGGTCATGAACATGCTCTGACCCCAATTTTTGCCCGATCAAATGCTTTTAAATATAGTTTTTTTCCCAGAACTGTCGATGACTGGAATTGTTTGCCGTGTGACATCTTTCATTCTAATAAGTTTCTTGGTGACCTTGAGCGTCACCTTCTTTCCTAACCTTTTGTTTCTTTTGCATTGTTGTCTGTTGTTTTCTACAATTACGTGACGGGGAAACGCTCAATGTTGCTTACTGAATAAAAAAAACAGCTGAAAACGCGTTCTTTCAAACAAGACCAAAATGGCGCCGATCGAGCGTGTAGTTCCCGCGTATCGTAGAGCCGAAACCTGCGCTATTCGCCCTCAATTTAAAGGGCAGGACGCCCGTTTTCGGTTTTTTAAAGTTGAATAACGATAAAAGTTGATGGTATTCGGCTATGAAATTTTGTAAATAGGTGTGCAATGATGTCGGGAACGCGAAAAGAAGGTCCGCGAAAACTCGATTTTTTGGCTGATTTTCGGTCCCGAAGTGCCGCGTCCCCCCTTAAACTAAATAATAACACGCAATAAAAAATTGTGCGCATTTTTCTTTCATTTTTTCCTGTGAAATGCTACGAGATGTGGGGCTAATGTGCCAGCGTTTCGCATGCGTTCGTGTCCCCGCGGTCAGCGCATGGAGCAGACAACCGCCATGGAACGCTCCTACGCGTTCGCGCACCCATTGTGCTCATCTGCTCTACCGCATCTAAGCCAGCGTTTCCAAACCATCCCACAGAAACAGGCAGAAAACCAGAAAATAACGCTGGTCAACAAAGCAACGCTGCTCGCGTGCTCTGGGGTTGGGCTTGTTCAGGCACATCATGCGCACGTCACCTCATGGTCGGAGGCTGAGGAAGATTTGGCTTGCGAAGGCTACGCAGAGGAGCGGCAAGGGTTTCGAGCTCGCCTGCTCACATCCTCGTTTTGCACCGCTTCGAAAAACCTGTTTTCTCCGCTCATGATGATCCGATTCGAAAAATTTTGTGGCAAAGTTCCTCATTGGACACCCAACAACTTCCACTGTAACTAAAGTTCGGTATGGGGCCTGGTGAGTGGCCCTTTAAGACCACCTTGTTGGCAGCACAAGCTTCGCGCAACAAGGGACATTAAAGCCTATAAATCGATCGACGCCTACAACTATGTGACTAGAGGATGGGTCCAACAGCGCAGTCGGAGATGGCCGCCACGTTGTCAGAAACGTGACTTGTTCCCTTTGCTCAGTGCTTGACGAATAATTTGTCACCACGGTGGTGTCGCTTCACGAATTCTTTGTGTGGAAGGGCTTCACCGTTTGCAAGAGTATGTGAGGCTATACAATTGGCATAGTTCTTTCGTGGTTGAGCCCAAGCCGCTTGCGATCAAAAAAGCTTTGTGCCGCAGGGTCCAACGACGCATGTCGGGCCGTTGCACACCCAGAGATCACATACAGCCTCGATTGTAAGTAATCAACATTAATGTGATATCACCGTTGATGTGCTTAGCTGACCATTCTCTTTAACAGTCAGTGATGCAGTGTGCTCTCGTCAAACCATGTAAACAAGAATGCACTGTGGCATGCCTACACTGCGTCCCCGACTGTTTACTAACACACCGAAATCTGTAACATGCTGCACCTACCTGAATGATACCGCTGATAAGCAGCGATTGCGAATGTAGTGCGCATGCTCGTCTCCAGCTGCTTATACAAAGCTTCATAGCACGTTGCAAAAAACCCAAGTTTTTCACCACAAAAGCAAACCTGATTTTGCATAGGTTCGGACCACTTACCAGAAATTAAATGAAAAGAACACGCAGTATAGTGTATGCAGACGCATTCTCATGACCAGGCTTCTTACTTGAGTGGTTGTGGCAACCAAATACGGCACAGTTCACTATTATGACCACAGGAATTTCGCATGGACGCCCGTGCGAGATATACACGTGAGTACGTTCTGCGACTGCTTGCCGGCAGCGGCCGGAAGAGACCATAAAGATGGATACACTGCCGACGCTGTTATGATTGGCCTGCCTGGCTTGACGGCGCTTCGACGCATGAAACATTGCCGCTGAGCCTACCCTGATTTCTTCAGAGTCCGCGCTCCCAGAGATGCACCAAGAGTGGCGACAACAGAAATTCTAGTTATCCCAAGTCGTCGGCGCCCCTCGTAAACCCTTTCGACATGCCTGACGGATTAGGAAGAGTTGTAGGCCATCGAGGCGGCTTGCTTTGCCGTCAAGGTGCCCCGGGAAAAGGGCCCAGCGTCTGAGAACAGTCTGCGGATGCCTTTCCCCAGTTTTGTGTGGCACCTTGGCGCCGCTGTTTCCACAATTTGTGGTCTGCCTGGCGCCACATACCCATCACTGCAACAGACCACGAAATTGACTTCCACGTAAGACTCAACGTCTTCGTGCTGTGTCGTGCGTGGTGTGCAGTGTTTTCTCCCTCGCCATGGTACGAACTGGCCGTGCTTCTTCCCTCTTTTTTTGGTCAGAAAGAAGGCAACATTTCACCTTCCCCTTTTGGAAGCGGAGATGAATATGGCAATTTTCATTGGACTGCCCTGGCCTCCAGTGTTTTTCGTGCAGGGAATCCTGGGATGGCCAGGACGTAAAACGTGAGCGCTGAGGTGCTCCCAACAAGATCACATGCTCGCAGAAGCTACCATCATTCTTCCATCGAGAGCTTCCACGATGCTACCAAAAACATTGTAGTATCACACGACCTTGTACTTGTATATAATGTAAAAAACGCTCCTGTTAACCACACCGGCTCCCTCCTCGGCAACTCACCGGGACTTTGGCTGGCTCCGGTCTTATGGGTAGACCCCCGACTACATCAGCGCCATCTTGTGGGCCACACCCCTGTGCAACTCTCCTATAAGCCATTGAAGTGATGCATCAAAGTGGCGCTGCCTTCACCTGATGTAATGATCCCGTGCTCGTCAGCGCATCTTGAACAACTTTTCTGCATGCTCATGCAACTGTGCACGCAGATTCCGGGCCGCTAAGATTTAAAATGAGGCGATTTTTCTGCCTACACTGTCTCAGAAATGACACGTACTGCTACTTGGCACGATTTGGGTAGCGTGGCTTGGCTCATGTGTCAAGAGAGCAATGATGACGGGACAAGCCATTCATGACAAAAGCAACAACCTTGGGCACAAGCACACCCCAACACAGTACAAACACGGAAGCTGTATAAAGCCAACTCAACTCATCTCATTGTAACGGCGTGTTATTGTTGAACATACTCTGTCGAGTAGAGATCGCACAAACTAACTGCCATGCACGCCACATTTAAGCTAAGCCCGCGTGCAACGCATCACATTTCCATTCACTACACACATCGATTTCCTCCTTCCATGACTATAAAAACGAGGAGCATAAGTGTAAAGGTGAGAATAAGCGCTGTTAGGCATAGTAAGAGAACTCCTGCAAAAGCAGAACACTGAACACTGTCGTGCCGGGAAAAACAGGGTCAAAAAAGATCACTTGTCCGTCCCTTTACCCATTTGTACGAAGTGTTCGGGGGATGATTGATTTCTAAACGTATGTCATATTTATTGAGTGCTGATGCGTAAAAGATTAGAGATTTTTGTTTTTCCGAGTGCATTAGCCTGCACATCTATTTTCACTGTTTGAAATTTCACCTGTTTCTGTGTAAATTTTTTTTTCTTTGATAATGACTGCTTGAACGTTCATTTTCCCTTGTGTATGCTCCGCCTTATTTCATACCCTAACATGGGCCTTTAAGGGTTAATAAATGAATTTTCATACGCATTGCAGTTCTGCAAGTTTAGAGATTTATACGCATCAGAATAAGCAGCTACAATTCCTAAAACCCAATAAAAAACAGCCTCCTTGCCAACAGCACCAAAAGGGCATAGCGACTACAGCGTGCCCTGACAAGTATTGAAACAAGGCATGGGCTTTTGAAGAGATTTGAGCAGCTATGAGAGACGACGCTCCAAGTTCAAACAACGCAGGTATGACCATTGGTATGACGAATCCGCAACTTCGCAGGCCATTTAACGAGACAGAGAGCGAGACATGGCAAGTCTTGGTACTACACACTACGCCAAACCTGCGGTTCTAAAGCAACAATGCTCAAGTCAGCCCACTCACCTTTGTGTTTGCAGCGGGTCGGCCAAGCTCGAACTTCCTCTTCTTGCGAAGAGGTTTGCGCTTACCGCCAGTCTTCCTACGCTTGTGCCAGTGATCACGAGAGATACCTGCGAGGATGTGAGAGGAGCACGTCGTCACATTGTGTGCGAACACTCGGAACAGTCAACTTCGACACGTCGTGAAGGCCTCAGAAACGCTATGCTCGTCACGGCAGTCAGCCGAAAGATGGTATTTTATTTGCTCATCACGACAGCCTTCACGAACCTCTCGAACAGTTGATGCCGGCACAGGTGCTGTCGGACAGCACGCTGATTCGACGCCATTAAACAGCTGCAGGAGCCAGCCACGGCTCTGATATTTCACGTACTGTCGAAGAACAGGCAGTTACGACATGCACACCCGGCAAGTAGCAGAATAGCGAGCAAGTTAGACAGACTTACACGTGTTGAGGCATGACTACCCTCCATGATAGCAACAGCAGGAGACACGATATTTGGTGCCATACCTCGAAATTACTGACTTAAACGGCGGAAAATTAATTAGTTCGATTGCTAGAACAAACATTTTAGAGTAAATAAGTGAAAGATGGTAACCGTGAAACTTTGTTTACGCGCGGATTGCGGACGATTCGGCACAAGAGTTCGAACTCGACACTTACCCATGATGGCGAGTAGACCGGAAAGAGAGCGCTGATCGGCCGCTATGCACGATGGGATACAGGCGCTCGCGTCCCAGCGCCGTCTAAGATTATCATGGCGGAAGTTTCGTCGTCGGCTGCTACGACCGTAAATGTTGTGAAAGGTATTTCGTTAACTCAGCATTTCTTCGCGATTCTCTGCAACTCGTTGATCGAACGTAAATGCATTCGCGCTCGTGTCTTGCGCGTGTTTATTGCGATGGTGTCTTGAGGCGCCCCACCTCGCTTTAGTTTTGTGACGAGGCGCTTGATCTTTTGTTTTCAGTTGCAGATATCACCGAGATCTATTCGCGCCTCTTTGATCACAAGCCATTTCTGCAAGGAGAAATAAAGTTTTTCGTTAAGGAGTTTGAGGTAAGCACTCGTCCGTACGCCTGTGTTTATTCATCGTTTGTTGCGAGAGAACCGGCTGCCCTACCGGCACACAGTGCAAGCAGGCACTTCAAATGCTTGCGAATCTCGAGTGTGGCTGCCGCAAGCAACGTTACTAGTTGGCCGCAAGTGCATCAGCTACGCTACCTACGTCACTTAACTCAATGGCTTTATCTGTACTTAGTCGCGAAAATGCAACCAGCAGCTCAAACCGAAACTGGAGCTAGTACACCGTACTAAGATGTCAAAGTATGTTAACTTCGGTTTTGCCGACAATACTTTCACGTTTCCAGCAAAACTTGTGCAGTGCCAGTGCACATCTCATAGTAGAACAATATACATAACCTCACACACTCTCAAAGGAGTGAATGCGCGTATCAGCACATCGGCTTTTGATTGTCGCACACAAAGCGCCAATGAACGCAGATCATTTTTTTAAAAGCTGTAGCAAGCTTACAAATGTTGAATTACTGGCGAAGTACCCACATGCAATAAAACTGCGACGTGGTTTTGGTACTATGCTTAATGAACACAGGGCACTATGGTAACCGTGAAATTTAAAAGAGAGTCGCACAAGTGCTGCCCGGTAACTGAAGGTTGATTGGTTGACTCCTTCTAGCAATTATAAACAAACATGTGACATGATGCTATTGTCTGCATCAGCAATTGAAACGCGACAAAGTATCTGCTACTGAAAAGTTAATTCCGTGTCATGCAAGCAGCTCAGCTGAAGCTAGCATTGTTTTTGTTTTTTTCATTGGCCATTTTCAATGCCACGGCCATTTCATGGTTACTGAGAAATTTGTATCTGAGTACAAGGCATTGTAGTGGTCGCGAAATGTACCAATACTGATGTAACACCAGAACAAGGGAATCCTGCCTGCCACTGTCTATTTATCTTCATTGAGTTACTTCCTTCTACAAAAGGGCTGCATGAATTCGCTAGTGTGGACCCTAGAGTTCACACATAAATTACACAATCAGCTTGAAATGACCAGCCTTGAAACCAAACGCATTTTTGAACACTGCGGTTTATAGCATGATTATTTGTTCGGTTTCATTACGAAAGAGTTCACTTGCAGATATATCTGTGTCTTAAAATTTTATTTCACTGGTGGTGTGAAAAAGTGGGCCAAAGCTGGTTGCATAACTTATACAGGCATTCATGTAGCTTTTGATGTATTTTAAGATTAGAAAACTTTAGGTCAAAAGTGGTAGCCGCAGAATATCGCATGCCTGCTCTCAAAGCGTATTCGAAATTAGCTGTCTGCTTCTGCGAGCTTGTGCACTAGAGCCGATTACAATACAGTAATTCAGCCAACATTGGGTTTGAGGTTGGTTCAGTTTATGCAGATGCTCTTTAGAGCTTAATGGGCTTTTTTTCTTCCATGGGTGTGATGTAAGTTATTACAGTGTTGTCCCAGGATGTTTTTGATTGCATAAAACATAGCGTAATGCCTTTCCTCGAGTGCTACGCAGGAAAAGCGTGGTGACCGTGAGGTGCAGAAGCTGTTTGAGATGCTTGAAGATGTAACTGAGGTACGGGAGACGCAAATCGACCGGGCGTGTCGTGCCTCGGACCAGGGACTGTGCAGCCTCGCAGGCAACCTTGAAGTGGCACTCAGCATGTGCCACCGTATCCTCGAGGCCGAGGACAAGGTCAACTCCGTGAGTTATGCTCCCTCCCCACTACTCATTTTTTGTGACCTGCAGTAGCAGTTACATCAGCTCATGTTTAACGCTAAAGTTAAGTAAGAATATCTACGGTATTATTTTAACACCGAAGTGTTCTCGGAAAATGGTGCAGAGGTAGGAATATCTGTGAATTTTAAACTCCTGAAGCAATTGAACGTTTCCTTGCACGTTGCGGCACCAGTTGAGAATGCATAGCTAAAATAAATGGACAACAGTGAGAGAAAAAGTTGAGAAAGCCAGTAAACAACCCGAAGGTTTCGAAATTCTTATAAAGAGAAATATGTGCACTTTTACTTCATGTCACAAGAACTTTATAAATACATGCTTCATTGAGGAAATTACAGGGGTTGCAACATCAGTTCCAGCTGGTTTCAAATTTTCACCTGGCCTCACCACCCTTCTCCCTCACATAAAGGGAAGGCGTCCACATCGGCAACGTGACACGTCAGCAACCGATGTCATCAACGAACTCCATTTATCGCAATGTGCGTTCGCTTGCTGCAACTCCTGGTTGTTTACTGTTTACCCAGTGGCCATGCTTCTTGCGCTGCCCAGTCGCTCGATTTGCTGCCAGCAATGAAGCAATTCTTTTCCCCTGGGGTGATTCTAAGGAAAGGTAAACGAAGAGAAAAGCGCGTTGTTGTAACTGTCTCTCTCATGGTCCCCTTCAACAACTACGTGTGGGGAATTGGGGAATGTGAGTGAAAGAAACAGGAATGCGGGAGCGAAGGGAGGGAGAGGAGTTTTGCTCATTTCGAGAGCAAAGCACGTGCATGCAGGTGCTGTGCTGAGCTGTAGCTGAGCGAGGAACGTACGCACGACAACTGCGAGACCAAAACTGTGTCTCCGCAGTGCCAAGAAACAAGGGGCATTTTTGTAGCTGTGAGTAGACACAGGAACTGACGTTGACTTCCCTAATGTTTGTTGAGACTTGGTCTAGACCAATCAATGAGCTGCGTCAAGTCGCCTAGCGCCGACTTTGCCTCACTGCGCATGGAAGGAGGATTGGTCAAGCGTATGAAAAGAGCACGAGAATGGTTCATCGAAATGAAGGCTCTGCGCAGCACGTATCGCTGTAATATTCAGACAACATTGATTGCTTGGTCTACTTCACGAATTGTTGAGCTTGTTTGGGAAGTGAAAAAAAAAAAGTAGGGGCCTGTTGACTGGCTCTTTAACAAAATCTCGTTTTGACAACCATACACATTAGACATGCCTGGTGTCAGTCTCTTGTGCTACGAGTGATGGCATTGCTGTAATTTCCCAAATTAATTAGTATTTAGTGCCAGAGTAATACAGAGGGGTACTTGTGGAAAATTCTTGTCTCCTAAAATACCTGTAATGTCATTCGCTATGTATGACATTACGTATTTATGTCATTTTTGTTGGTGGTACACTGGAATAATGAATGACACTCACACCTAATGACATTTGCACATTGAACGTGTCCACCAAGCTCATGGAAGTGCGGCATGACTAATCTCGTTGATTGATGATGTTCAGATGTTTATTAAAGATTGTTGTTAACTTTTTGGTAACTTTTTATGGTACAATGAGATAGTGGAAACAATTTGCGCAGCTATAGTCTTTTTCCCAGACTCCGACTTGATGCTATGGTGCCTCCTGGCAGCCATGTCAAAAAACGCTCGCTGTTGTTTTTGAGCTGCGTCACCGCGCTAGACTTGCCAGTAGTAGAATACACACGCAAGTGTTGAAAGAGCATTAGGAAGAGTTTAGGAAGAGCATTTTCAAACCAATTAACCTTTCTTGGGGAACGCCACAGTTCTCTGTTGATCGCCGACGCAGTTGAAGACCAAAGAGCAGCTAAGGAAACTAATCGGCATGTTTTTTAATCACTACAGATTCTTCATAAAAAACTAGTTTAATAGTTATGCACTTGCTGTCTTGGCAGACAATTTCTAGGCAAAGGTGGAAAAACTTAGCCACAAATTAGATCATTCAGAAAGAAATATTTAACAAAGGTACTTCAATTAGCCTTTCTATTATCAAATTTAGAGTGGTCACATATAGGGCTTATGCCAAAAAGTGTTGGCAGTGCATAGAACGATTAGGAAAAGACGAGACAACAGAGGCAAAGAGCGCAGTTAACACTTTTTTAAATGAATCGCCACTAACCTGCCCAAGTGTCAACTCTTTCAAACCACAAATTATGGCCAGCCTACTTTTTTAAAGTCAAAAATATTGTGCGTAGTGTCAGAGATCCATCATTGAATTTTTTCCAGACCATGATTCGGCAAATATCGCAACTGAATGTGCCAGGTGCGCTGGAAATATATATATATATATATATATATATATATATATATATATATATATATATATATATTGGTTCACGGCAAGTCATCTTTTCACCCACTTTTCTTTCTTCACATTTACATTAAAATTCGGTGTAATAACTTCCCCTATACTTTCCTTGGCATTAACAAGTTTAAGTAGTCGCATATGACTACATCTACGGCATCAGAGCTTGCTGCTATAAGGGCTGCTTTACAATATCTCATTCAAGAACGTCCAGGAAAATGGGTCATATTCTGTGATTCGAAGGCAGCGCTTCAGAGTTTGCAGTCTGCCATGCGTAGGAGGAGTCATGAACAATTGGTACAAGAAATAAGACATTGCCATCATGAAGCTCTAGCACGAGGGCATGATATTATATATCAATGGCTGCCTGGACATATCGGTATTACCGGAAATCAATTAGCCGATGATGCAGCCTGCTCAGCCCATGAAGGAACCCGTGTAGTCCCGATGCCTCTATCAAGGAATTATGCAGCAAGACAACTTTACCTGCTGGCTCGAGATCTCACACACACGTTCTGGTCGTCTACCAGCTTCCAAAGGTGTCAATTTTATGAACTGGATCCTTCGCTCAAGATAAAGCTACCATCACAACTTTCCCGCTCCGATGCGACACTGTTATGCCGCCTTTGGTTGGGTGTTGCATTTATAAAGGTATACTCCTTTCGCATTAATATGGCAGACACTCCTACATGCGACTACTGCGGAGCTGAAGAGACCATCTAACACGTCCTGTGCAGCTGCGCTTGCTACGACACACAGCGATGCCAGCTCCAGATGGTTTTGAATCAACTTGACCTTGGACCATTTTGTGTGCAGAAGATACTAGGACCTTGGGCATCTGCCTCAGTTGCGCAGAAAGCGACTAAAGCACTGCTACTTTACTTAAAGTCAACAAACCTGAGCGACCGCCTGTAGACTGTGTGTGCTCCCCGAGTGTGCTCATGACTGTGTGTACTTTCTCATCTCTCTGCAACCTCTTTTCTCCCCTTCATCCCTTCCCCAATGCAGGGTAGCAAACCGGATGTGCGTCTGGTTAACCTCCCTGCCTTTCCTCGCATCTTTATCTCTCTCTCTATTGTCTGTTAGGTCTCATTAATATTGTGTCAAACACGAAAGAAACGAGCCCTTAAGTATGCTTTTCTTTATAAACATATATATATGTGTGTGTGTGTGCGTGTGTGTGTGTGTGAAGAACCACACGAGAACGGTGTGGTGGAATGGTAGAGAAGGAGGAAGACGAAGAAAAATAAATGGTTCATCGTACTGCCATCACATCTCCTGCGTCACACGAGTCGACAGGATCTACGGTGCCCTTCATCATGGCCACATCCAAGAAAGTCATCAACATCCCGAAGTACTTGGGAGCATCTATGGGCGTTTCCTTTGACAAGTGGCTCCGGCTCTTTGAGGTGAGGACTGCGGCCGCAGCATGGACGGAGCGAGACAAGCTGTGCTACTTCTCCGATTACCTTGAAGGTGAGGCTTTCCGATGGTTTCTCACCGAGGTTTTCGACTCAGACGCGTCTTGGGAGAGCTTATGTGAACGCATGAAGAAACACTTTACGAGCGGCGTCGCGGATTTTTTTCGCCAATTCATTCATTGCCGGTTGCGAACAGGCCAGAGCTTGAAAGAATACTATAATGAAAAAATGTCTCTCGTACGCCTCGCCGACCTAAAGGACATGCACCTTATATCAGGGCTCATTGACGGTCTTCCTGCGCATATGGAAATGGCGCTTGCTAAGCTTACCTCGTCTACACCAGAGGCATGGCTTACAGCTGCACTTCGTGTAGAGTCAACCATGCAGAGAATGAAGTTACATCGCTTTCCACCAGCTCGGAATACACAGATTAACGTAACAGGTGACAAAACTAGTCAGCGTCCACGTAATTCCCCGGTACGAACACCCGTGCGTGAGTGCAAACACTGCGCGATGGATGGCTTACCCCGACAGATGCACTGGCATAATGAATGCCCACGACGCGCAAGCATTTCCGCCCTCTCCACCAACCAGGGAAACGAGGAAGGCGACGCAGAGTTCATGTAATTCAGTTTGATGCCCTCATTAACGGGTACCCTGTCAGCACTATACATGATACCGGAGCTACGATTACCTGTATCAGCGAAGCAGTGCTGAAGGCACTTCACCTGCAAATAATGAGGAATTCATGAATCTCAGTTCAACAAGTCACATCATCTACCAAAACTTTGGGTCGCGTTAATCTAAAGGTACAAATAGGAAAAGTGACAAGAGAAATTCAGGCTCATGTTCTACAAGGCATGAAGAGCAACTTACTTCTTGGCTTGGATAGTGCTTGCCTCTTTAACTTGTCGCTGGACCTTGACACCATGACTCTACGCCAAGGGAAAGACATCCTCCATTCTCGTACACAAAACCACACCACGGCTAACATGGGCGCGTCTTTACAAGGTTTTGTTTGCGATGTACCACATCTAAATAAAACTCAACAGTTGGCATTGAAGCAGCTTATCCACAAGTACGATGACATTTTTTCCAAGTCACAGACAGACATTGGGTGCATCAACGGCGAAATGCATCGCATTCATCTCACTAACAATGTTCCCATTCGTAGAGCTCCCTATCGATGCTCAGAAACTGACAGCATTGAAATGGACAGACAGATCAACG